GGCAGGGGCACGCCCTCCTCCTTCCCCAGCTCCTGTCATATCAGGTGCCGATGTCACCATTTGTTGTTAGCTGGGCATTGTCTTCAATGTCTGTTGTGTTTTCTCTTGTTTTTCGCTTCAGTTCTCTCTAGTCATCTCACTTTCCCATCACAACTGCGCCTGGCATGAGGTCAGACCTGGAAACACCTACCAACTGGATGGGTGTGATGGCAAGAGGAGGGAGGCTGCGGCCAGAAACACAGAGGGGGAAGGAGGCCAGAGCCATTGGGCTGGTCAGCTCTGCATTGTTGGATGGAAACATTTCATGATCATCGAGGTCCGGCAGGAGGCAGAGTGTCTCTGACCTTGATTCTGCATGTGGTGTTCAATGTCACGGTGGGGAGTGGCTCGAGGACTCCAGGACCTGCCTGCTCTCTGCATTCATCAGCCCAGCAGACCCCGTGGGGGGGGAATGGAACCATTTGCTCTGCAGCTGGGTAAACTGAGGCACAGAGAAGCTAAAGCAGGTTCTAACTGAGTAAGATGTGTGTTCAAAGATGCACATTCACAGCCTGCCCTCGGCTTTCCTGTCCACCAAAGCCGAGATGCCTCTGTATGCTGGAGACTCCAACATGGGCTGAAATTCGAATGTTCACCCATGTCAATGTGGAAACATCAAGCTTATCAAGATTGGATAAACAATAATATTCAAGCCTCACACTAGAACAGAACTCACAGTCTCCGCCAAGCACCTTCCGGTATGTTGTGAGAGGCATTTCCTCTCCCAGGAAGTCAGTGAGGTGGGCAAGGCAGTCACGATCATACCCCTTTTACAGATAGGGAAACCGAGGCTTGGAGAATTTGAATGACTCACCTCAGACCACCCAGCCCCCAAGTGACAACACTGGGATGTGAGCTCAGGGCTTCAGATTCCAGGCCTGTAGCTCTTGTCAGGAGCTAGTGCTGCCTCTCTTGGGTACCTTCCACTGGCTCCTGTTCAGAAGCACAGATCCCCCGCCCCGCCTTGGTAAGCGAGGCTCCCAGCTCCATCCCCCCATTCCCAGGACCCCTGCTGCTCTCCTGTTGGCTCCTGTCTCCCCTCGGCAATGCCCTCCCCTTAACCTGCACAGACCCCATGGGACCCACAGACCTCTGCCCCTTTGTCAATGACAAGCTTCATCCACCACCGTGGACCAATCCCACCCCAGCGCTCCAGAGACTTCCTGTTGAAAGGCAGATTCTGGCTCAGCAGGTGTGGGGTGGAGTCTAGGATTCTGCACCTCTATCAAGGTGAGGCTGCCTAGGCAGTAGCTCTCTCCGTCTCTCTCTCCTGCCCGTCAGCTTGCCCCTGAGTCTCGGGTGGCTAGCTTTTGTCTCCAAGGCACAAAGGAAGGGTTTCCCCCTTCCTGTCATGGGGAGCCCAGGTGGCCGGCGGGAGCCCTGCCTTGCAGAGCGCTAAGGGGTACCTCCCAATGCCAGTCATGCCCTCCCCATCTCGAAGGGGTCCTGCAAGCAGCTGTTACCCTGTGAGGGGCTGAGACGCCTTTGCCCGCCGCCCTTCCTGCTTCCTCCCCGGCCCACAGCCTTGCCGGGCTGACCTCTGGGGCAGGCCCTCGGAATTTGGGTGGGGGCAGCTTCTCTTCTCCCACAGCCCTCATTGCAATTTTGTCCTTGCCCAAGAATCCTCGGTTGAGAGCTCATCCCTATTAATTCTCATTGTGCATTTAGAGCCAATAGGTTTTTATTTATTCATTTATCTTGTCTTTCAGCCTCCTCCCCTTCCTTGCAAGGCTGGAATTTACAATTCAGTTCTCAGGTGGCCTTGCTGAAGGACAAGAAGCCTGGGAGAGAGACAGGGTCTGCATCCTGCCTCTGGAAAGGCCATCTGCCCCGGGCCCCTCTTGTACCCTCAGAGTGCAGCCAGGCTTGCGCTCCCGTAGGCTGGATGTTAGGACACACCTAGCACCCGCTGCAGAAGGGGCGAAGGAGAGCAAGGACCCATGGGTGATGGCAAGGCTAAGGTGGGCAGGGGGCATCTGGCCGCCATGAGGGCGCCCCCTGGTGGCTGGTTAACAACAGCTGCTGGGGCTTAGGCATGGAAGCTCCTCCCCGCCTACATCTTCCACCTGCTGCCAGAGACTAGAAATACAAGGCGTGGCGTCCCCAAGGCTGGGGAGAGGCAAAGGACTCTGGGGAAGTAGAGAAGCCAGGAAAGTCACCGAGGCCATAATCACAACAGGAATAAGCCAGTGACTAGTATTGCACATTGAATACCTACTATGTGTCCATGTGTACCATGGCAGCATGGCCGGGCTGCGCTGTCCCACCAGCACCGTGACACTCCTAACATTATGGCTTCTACTGGGCAGAGGAAGACAGTGAAACTCAGAGAGGTCAGAAGTTGAGAGAGGGGAGGCTGTGCCGCCTGGTGGGTGGGCATGGGCCTTGGCCATGGGCAGTTCCCAGCCTGCCTTCTCAACAAAGTGACCTTGGCAGGATTTAGGCAACATTTTCTAATCCCTAAGATGAGATTAGACTAGGACCCACCTCAGAGCATCCTAGAGATGATTAAATGAGACCTGCCCGGACCCTCCCAGGGAAGCCACAATAAACTGTGACATCAGGGTTTGAATCCAGATCTGTCTGGAAGTAACCATCCCCTCCAAAAGCCACCCCTCCAAAAGCCAGCCCTCCAAAAACCACCCCTCCAAAAGCCAGCCCTCCAAAGCCAGCCCTCCAAAAGCCGGCAGCCTGCCACGGAGGCCTCCCCATTCTCATTGGATGCACATTTGTAATCAAAGCAGAGCCGGATGGCAGCCCATGATGAAATATTTAAGTCCATCAAACAGGTGGCAAGACACTGAGGACTCGCCCATGTGGTAGATTGTGGAGGGACTATTCTTTCTCCCCTGCCTTCCCCACCTGTCTGCCCAGGAGAGGAGCAGGGGGTGGGATGGGAGAGTGCACTCTTCCAGACCCCAGGGCTTGAGGACGGCTGCCTGGGATGAGGCTCTGCCAGCACTGGGACTGGGAGGGGTGACCACCTCCCCAGGGCAGCTGCCCACTGTGCTGGGTTCTCTGTCTCAGGGTGGGGGCGGGGCAGAGGTCCAGGGCCAACGACATCTTAGCCAGCTTTGGCCAGGAGAGGGCCTCAGACTTGCCTCTGAGGGTCATCTCCCCACCTCAAGCCCTCGACCCAAAGCTGGTCCTAGAATTATGATTTAACTGCTCCCCCAAGCACATTGAGGCAGTGATTAATATTTAAGAGAAAAAACACAGTCAAGACTCTAATACAAGACAGAGGTTGACTGTGCCCGGGAGTGTGTAGAGAACCCTCCCACCGGCTCTGAGATGTGGATGGAGCACCAGCCCCCATCCTGGCTTTCCTCCTGGCTTCCAGAGCCCAGCCCCCTTGCTTGGCCCTGCGGTCCCCAGGGCAGTTATGACCACAGACTATCCAGCCCCAGCTCCTGGCTTTGTGCCACCTTCTCCTTCCCTCTCTCCCTCCCTCCCTCTCTCCCCAGCTGGCCCTGGCCCAGCCACCACCCACAACGACAGCCTCATCGCCACTGACAAGCCCAAGTAAGAAGCTACCTTCTTGGGCTGACTGCCCTGTGATGCGAGCAAAGCCGGCCCATGAGATCGAGTCCTCAGGACTCTGAGGTGGGGGCACCGGGTCAGCCCCACCATAAGCCCGGAGACCTGGAGGCTCCTCCAAGGACATGCAGAGGCACAAGCTGCCTGGGGGATGGCATCGACCCCCTCCTGTGAGTTCCTGCAGCCTGGCTGCCCTACCCGGCTCTGCCCTGCCTTCAGGGACGGCCTCCAAAGCACTGCCCAGCGGGAAGCAGCTTAACTCAGAGACACTGGAGCCACTCTAAGCTGGAATCACAGCTTCGCCACCTCCTGGAGCGTGACCTTGGCCAGATGCCTTCACCCACCACCCCTGGACTGCCTCAGTTACCCCACCTGTATGACCGGAATGACAGTGGCTAACATCTGCATGCGCTTACTCTGTGCCAGGTCCTATTCCGAACGCTTTACCTACATTAATGAAACCACAAACTCCTCACAATGATCCTAGGAGTATGTGCTCTTAGTGTGCCCATTTTGCAGATGACAGAACAGAAGCCCACAGACGTCACTGGGTCAGAGCCCTCCCCTGACACTCCTTCTTTACACAACACAGAATCCACCTGGCTGGCTGAAGGGAGGACTCCTGGCAATGGCATCAGGCTCAGCCCACACACTCAGGCAGCTCGCGTGCAACCATCTCTGCTGTTGTTGTTGCTGTTAACATTACTTGAGTACTGAAGTACTCCATGCCCCTAGGACTACTCCTTCTCTAACTAGGGAGGCAAGGGACAACGCCTGAATGTCTGCCTTCCCTGGACTTATCTGGGGGCTATCGCCATTGCATGTAGGAATGGAACTGGAAGGGGACCCAGCTGCACTGTCTGTCCCGGCCTGACCCCCAACTTCCTCCTTTGTGAATCCCCTCTGAGCCTCCGTCAAACCTCCCCATGCAAAGGGCCAGCTCAGTGCTTGGCATGCTCTAGCTTCATAGTACAGTCTGCTGGATTGGATTGAGGGGGCTAAGAGGTTGCACTGCAGAAAGGATGAACAGAGGGGTATCACGTTGCAGGTAGCATCTCGCTCACTCGCCCAGAATGCTGACTTCCTACACAGGAGGTGAGGCTTACCCTCAAGGCTGGGGAGCCGAATACTATGGGCTTCCCGAGGGAACTAATCTAGTGGCCAGCTGGCCAAGAATGCCCCTACCCCAGAGAACAATGGCATATGACCCCAGTGTCCTCAGGGTGGCCTCTGTTTTGACACATTTCCAAGGTGGGACAAAGACCTGGTCCAGGTCTGGTCCAGGTCTGGTCCAGACCTGGTCAAGAGGCAGAAAAGTCAGCCTTGCATATCAGTCCCCCGGCTCTGCTCATCCACCCCAAGGATCTACTCCAGACCTCCTCCCACTTGGCCTGGACAAGCAAAAGAGCAGTAAGTGGACTTACATGGGAGCAGAACCTCTCAGGGGGGTCTCCGCACGTGATGCCTGAGGGTTCCACCTTCACCTTGACGTAGTCCTTCAAGCGCATCACCTTGGGCTGGCAGGCGTAGAACTCCCAGGTGGGGCCCTCATCTGTGGTCACCCAGGATTTGCAGATGTCGTAGTCCCCAGAGGCCAGAGGGAGGCAGTGCAGGAAGAGCGCCAGCAGGTGCAGCATGGCTGCGCAGTCCGCAGGGGCGTGGCCCAGAGAAGCCCTGGAGAGGCAGCGACGGGGTCAGGCGGGACTTGTGGCCTCAGCATGGAAATGCCACATCTACCAGGCGAGGGTGGCCGGGTGTCCCAGGGACCCAAGCACTGAAGCTTTGCAAACAGCGAGGAACTTGTTGTTTCCAAAAGGCCGATACGGAAAATTCAGAGCCAGTGTTTCTCAGACCGCTGATGGACAGATCAGAAAGTTGCCCACAACTTCACGTCCTCCTAACCTTGTCATCACACCTCCCCCGGAGGTGAATCTGATCAAATCAGGCAGACTCTCAAATTGTGACAGTGGATGGAAATGGGATAAGGAGAAAATCCGCGGGATCCTGCATGAGGCCGGATCAGATTGCTTTTAATTTTTGTCCTTCCAATCAATCCAGGTCTTTAAAGGGCTCTTAATGGGTGACGTGCTCAACACCACTGCAAAACAACCCTCCAGCCTGCATTGTAAAGATAAAATAAAATCAGGAGTTGGACATGTTAGCTGGAAACATGTTCCCTCTTTGGGACTGGACTTGGGTTCTCAGACCAATAAAAGAGATTTCTTTCATATGAGCTTAAGGTGGCAACAGCTGTGTGACTGGACTAGAATAAAAAGCTACTGAGGTGCTAACCGGGGAGAAGGCTATTTGGCTCTGCTTTGGTGGGGGCCGGCACTAATGGGGCCCAGCTGACCTTGGCTGGTAGCCATCGGCAACTTATTATGAAGTTTCTGAGATCTCAGCTCGCAATCCATCCAGGTACCTGGGGTCTGGCTTGTCTTTCATTGTAAGAGGGGAGGAAAGAGAGAGCTCATTAGCAACAACACCTGCAACAAATTAAAGAGGGGGAGAATAGAGACGTATAAGAACAAAAGCTCTCCGGCAAAATGTGCAAAAAATGAGGTTGCATTAGCAAAGTCTCCCGAGAAAACTGGGTTATTTTTATTAATATCAGAGTTGCACATTTGGAGATTGGGCATGTTCTTTAAAAGATGATGCATTTTTCTCTCATTTATGGGAGGGTTAGTTCAGCAGAAGTGCCCCTGTTTGGGGGTCAGAGACTTTTGAAAGCATCTCCAGGAGCCAAGATTTAATGGTTGCTTTAAAATACCGTGATTGTCAAGTCAGAAAGTCAAAGTTGTTGAAGGCAAAGATGAGAATGTAACTATAGGTGCAGATGAGCCCATACCTATATGTACAGATGAACAGAGTGCCCACGTGCTGGCCAACCACGAAGAGCCAGGCACTGAGAAACAGCTCCCCAATCATAGGCACAATCTGAAATGGCAAATTTAATTTTTTTTTTAACTGTAAGAAACTAGGGATACTGAAGACTGCCAAAGAGGTGACACTGTTTTGTGAGTTCAGATTTTTCTGATCAAGGCCAGCATTTTGCAAATCATTCTTAGAGGGTAGGTCTATAAACAGGTTACTATTATGATTATTGCTGTGCTATTTTAAGCTTCTGTTAATTATTTAAAATCAAAATAGATATAACTGTTATATCAAAATAGATGCCAGTTACATGAACGTTACATCAGGAAATAACATGACTGCAGTACTGTGGTGTGTTCCAGACACTGGATACATCACCCGGAGAATCCAAGTCCAGCCAGCATGGGATTCTGGCCAAAAATATTGGCCAATAGGGCAAAGGTTACTGCAATAAGTTACAGCAGAAGTGCCTGCATGATTAATTATTCTGGTTACTATGCCTCCAATGATTGCATTTGACTTCCCAAACCGCCCCAAATGTCCAGTCTGAGCCTGGCTCTCCCCTGACATCCTCTTCACCTTCTGTGCATGCAAGGCCCCTGAAGAGTTAACTGTGCTTCCATGAAACTCCATTCTCTACCCAGACAGAAAAACGCTCCTGCCAAAAATGACAAACCGAAGTGGCAGACACTTGCTGCCCTGAGCACCTCAGGCTCGGAGCAGCCCCCAGCCAGGGCCCCAGGGCTCCAGGCATGGGACTCATTCATCTGCGTTAGGGCGACCCCTGCCCCTCTGTCTGGGTGAAGGGCCGCTGATGGAGATGAATGAGAACCCAGCCAGGACCATTTTCCCCGTCTCACCTCTGGCTGTTTAAAGAGGAACCTGTTATAGAGCCTGCCCGGCCTTGAAGGCGCTCCTTGCTAGAAAACTCTCAGAAAGAACGTGCCCGGTGTCTATTTTTGCAACCTGAGAAAATGTAGTAAAAATAAAATAGCGCGGCCGGCAAAGGTTTGGATGCCACTACCCGAGCTCGCGCCGCCCAGAGCACAGCACGTTCCTAATTAATTCTTCCAGCAGTCGACTCCCAACTGTTCACTAACAGGTAGGGAGCTCCTGGCTGCTGGGACAACCAGGACGCCCGGCTGCGGCTTGCAAGGAGGGCGCAGCTGCCGCTTTCCTTCAGCTGCAGGACCCGCGGCTGCTCGGGGCTTGCAGGGCGCTGGACGCCGCCGGGCGCGGGGAGGCAGCGAGGCCCGGAGGCCGGCAGGCTGGGGCGAGCGGCGCGCGCGGCGCAACTCGCAAATCTATTAATTGCAGTCCTGTTGGTTTAAATGCCACGCATTCCCTGGAAAATAAATAAATAAATAAAAACCCCCTAACAACAACAAAATCTGCCAGGGGAAAAATGTGTTTACAACTAGTCAATCAATTGGGCGTTGCTGGCATCGCAGGGGGGAATTATGAGCTCAGCACACGAATATTAACAGGCGGGTTCTGCCAAAAAGAAAAAAGAGAAGGGGGGAAGAGACACAGGAGTCCCCGGATAACGAGGAGGAGCGCAGAGAGTGAGGAGTCGGCAGGGAAATTTTCAGAGTAAAAGGCTGCATCCCGGAGGATCGTTTTCTCCGTGGAAAATTTATCTCCACCTGATATTATTAAGAAACTGCAGCTCCCAGAAACAAATAGAATCAATGTGCTTTATTTTCTTTTAAGAGTCCTCAGGAACCGAGGGGGGCTGATAGCCAGGGTATTAAAACCCGAAAATTAGATTTTATCAGGATTTCTGAACTCAGATTTCTCTGTCTTATTGAATTAGCGCCTCCCGAGCTGGCTGGGCTCGCCAGCAGGTTCCTCTTGGAGTTGCCGGCTGCGCCCTCGCCGTGTGGGAAACTTGCCGCGGCGGGCGCGGGGCCCCTGGGGGCACCGGAGGGAGGGCGCTGGGGGCTCCTGGGACTGGAGGGGACTCAGCCCACCCCGGGGTTCCCTCTCCCTCCTCGGCAGGGGCGGCGGATGGGGGTGAAATCTGCCTTCGGGGGAGGGTGGGGGTTGCCGGGAGGGAAAGGAAGCTTGGCCGGCGGGGTCACCTTCCCGTCCTCCGCCCCGGGCGGGGTCCAGCGGGCGCCCGGCGCTCACCGCAGCCTCGGCGGGCGTCCTAATTCCGGCGGCCCCGGTGTCCCCTGCTCCGGAGCGGGCACTTTATCCGGCCCCTGGGTCCCCGCCCGCAGGAGCCCTGGAAAGTTGGGCGCGGGAGGCGGGGCGCGAGCATCCGGCCTCGGGTGGGTCCCGGCGGGCGGGGTCGAGGCCGGGGCCGGGGTCGAGTCAGTGCTTCGGGCCGGCTGCGAGCCTGGGACACCGACGACCCGGCAGCCCCGCAGCTGCTTTTTGTCTTCCCAAAGTTGCGTGCAAGCCACGGGAGCAATTAATAATTAAGCCTGTAATAAAGGCCCGGCCCGGACTGAGGTGCCCCCTTTTTCGGCACTGCCTCACTTAATTAAAAGACACCGAGCAGGGCGCCCAGGAACTAGTTGGATCCTTTGCCCCGGCGCTGTAGCCTGCGGCGACCCGGCTGCCGCCGCCCCCCGCCCAGACGGCCAACTTACTCCAGAGCGGGCGGACCCTAAGAGCCCGCGGTCCTCTCTTCCCGCCTTCCCGCCGCCTCTGCTCCCCCAGCCTGCGCGCCGCTCAGTTCCAGGTTCGACTCCACGCCGGCCCCAAGCCGGTGCCTGCGCCCCCTCACCTCCCGACCCCCTCCCGGCGCCAGGAGAAGTTTCCAGCCCCGGCCGGCCGCGGGAGTTTCTCTGTGCAACTCACAGGCTCCCAGTTTGCAGAGAGATGGGAGGGCACGGGATGGGGGTGGTTCTAAGCTGTGGCGGTGAAATTGGGGTGGGGGAGAGGCGCGGGAGTAGGGTTAATTTCCTTTTTCGAGACACATCCGAGCATCCTTGCAACATCCCTCCCCGACACACATAGACACACACACACACACACACACACACACACACACACACACACACACACACACGAAGGAAAGGACCCGGGGGAAGCCGGCCAGAAAGACAAGCTACCCCTTTAAGATGCTGCTAAGAACGCACCCTCACACACCCCTCTGGGGCGACTCCAGTCCTCAGCTCGTAGCAGCCGCCACCAAACAACTTTTGCATTCGAGCCTTTGCCGGGCCGCTGTAAGTGGCTCCCGGGCCCGGGCAAGCCTGCATGGTCACCGAAGCCCTTTAAAAATGAAACCAGCCTGGCCAAGCTGCAGCCTCTCCCCCGCCCGCCTCCCGGGCTCTCCCCGCCCGCCTTACCCGGGCTCGGAGCGGCTTCCCGGCGCGGAGACCCGGGAGGGCCGAGGACCGCCACCCTCCGGCGCTGCGCCTCCCCCCTCGGGCTGGCGCTGGGTGGGGGCGCGGGCCGAGGGCTGCAAGCCGCTGCTCCTTCCCCGCGCCGCTCCCGCCGCTGTGGCCGCCGCCGCCGCCGCCGTCAGATCGGGGCCGGGGAGCCCTCCGGCCGCCGGGGGGGCCGCCCGCAGCCGTCCCGGAGACGCGGGCCGGGGGAGGGGGCCGCCCGCGCTGCCCGCATCGCCCGCCCGGGAGGAGCGGGAGGTCGCCGCTAACAAGTGCAAACTTTTTGGCCCCCCTGGGCGGCCCGGGGAGGACCCGCGCTCCGGCGCCGGGCGGCCCCCGGCCCGGGTGGGCTTCGCGGCGGCTCGTCGGGGAGCCGGGGCATCCCCCCGGCGCGGCGCGGGCCAGATGGCGGGCGCTTCACTGCCCCCCTGCACTCCGCTCCAAGTTAATGCCGAGGCTAAATCCTCTTGCCATCACTCACGATCACCATCGGGGCTTTTATCTCTCGGTCTGATCCGGGCTGCGTAACTTCCTCTGTGTGGCTTTAACACACCATCCCACCACGGAGCAACGGTCTTCTTAAAGGTGCAGGAAGGAAATACTGCGCGGCTCGGGGGACGCGCCACGGCCCGGGGAGGGGCGCGGCGAGCAGGGGAGTCCCCGCGGGCCCGCGGCCAGGGTGGCCCTGGCAGCCTCTGGGGGGTCGCTGCCTAAACATCGCCTCCCGGCCCGGGGGCCAGCGGGTCCCTGCGCCCAGAGCGCATCCTCAGCCGGCTCCGGTCAGGCGCAGCCGGGCTGCAGCTTCCTTTTCCAAAACCCGGGGGCCTGCTGGGGTGCCAGCACCCATGGGTGTGGGGGCTGCCCCATCGGCACGAGGGAGGGGGGCCAAGTGAGTCAGTTCCCCCACCCCCCACAGCCAGGGGCTCAGGGCTGCTCCTCGGTCTCTCCCTGTGAAGTGCTGCCACCCAGAAGGCCCCAAGCAGTGGGTACCGGGGTGGGTGGGTGGATTTGGGGAGATGGGGAGGGGGAGCGATCTGAGCGCACAACCAGAGCCTGAATACCAGCTGACACATCGCCGCCTCCACCCTGATGGGCCCTGCTTTTGACGAAGCCAAGCCAGCTCTGCAGAGAGTGCAGAGTAGGGGGGCAGGAGGGGCCTGGCTAAGGGGTTCTCTGCCTCCCTCCCCTGCAAGCATGGGAGGCAGGTGTGGGAGGGCTCCCGTAGCAGCAACCCAGGGCAGAGGCCACCCAGTTGGCAACATCACATCGGGCAGCCCTGTACTCTCCGACCCCCGGGTGGTTTCCTACCAGGCTGCCTCCCAGGGCTTCTGAGAGAGTTTTCACATCTTCCAGAAGCACATGTGGTTTTCGGACACTCCTGGCCTCCTGGGGTGGGCTCACTGCAGCCTTGAGCAGCCAGCACTATCATTTGGATGCATCAAGAACAAAGGGCCTGAGGACAGACAGAGAGAGAGGCAGAGAGAGAGAGAGAGAGAGACCAGCCCAAGGTCATAGAGGGTGTTGGGAATGGAGCAAGACATGGCACCTCAGTGCCCGGCCCTGCTGCCACCCTTCACCTCCACCTTAACCCTTCCCTGCTCTCAGCTGCCCTGAAAACTGGAGAGGGAGTTATACTGCTGAATAATATTTAGAATATTGTGACATAACAGGCAGAGGATGCAGAATTAAAGATTGTCATCTGCTGTAGTAATAATAGTAATAATAATAATATATTTATTGAACACCTGTTTTATGCCAGACTCCATGCAAACCAGCTTGTGTGCATTATTCACTGAATCTTCGCCAAAGCCCAGTGACTTCACTGCTAGTAGCAAAGCCTCAAGTTAGAGATGTTAAGTAACTTGCCCAAGGTCACATAGCTAAGGACTCTGGCCAGGGAGGCAGGGCTCTTGGGTTCCTGAGTGATGCTCTGTCACTGGCCTGGCTGGCTGATTAACTTGGAACACGGCCCAGATTGCTTTGGGGCTCAGTTTCCCCATATGTGAGATATGAATGGTAAATCCTTCTTTCTTCAAAGAGGGGTCAAAACAGGGCCATTGTGTGCCTCTACCTGCACACGCTCTCAGATGCCTACCACCGGAGATGGGCCTATCCCACCAAGCAGCTCAGGAAGGCAGACATGGGCCAGCCCCTAGTTACCTGTTCTATGCAGGAGGAAGCTCCTTGGGAGAAGAGAACAGATCTTAGTGGCGTGATTTTTAAGCACCCAGCCTGCAGGCAGCAGTGAAGGGCAGGGTGTGGGGCTCCTGCACAGGGTGAGTGATGACCAGGGTCAGCCCTCAGCCTGCTGTCACCCCGGGGCAGGGTCATCAATCCCTGGGAACCGCCCTGCTCCTCCATCATCACTGTGGACTGGATGCTGTCGGGAACAGCCAAAGAGATGGAGGGGCCGCTTCTTATTTGTAGTTCATCTAATCACAGCAGAGGGACCAGGGGTGCCTCCTCCCTAGCACTGCCAGGAGGATTTCAGTGACCCGTATGCAAAGATATGTGCCACTAGAAACAATTTTTAACGTGCCTCCCCGCCAGCCCCCACCCCCCCCCAATACTCCCTGCCTCTGCAACAAGCTGATGCCAACAGGCTTTTTTCGGGGACCTATGCCAGAAGCTGTCTTCTGGTCTCATTTCCAGACCCCAGGATAATGGAAAGAGCACTGCACCGAGAGTTGGGATAATGGGCTTTTCTTGGCTCAGCACTTACCACACTGTGTGTGGCTGGGGGAGATCCCTTCCCTGCTCTTGGCTTCAGTTTCCCCATCTGACGATGAGGGGATTTGCCCAGGAGGGTGGTCCCTGTGCTATGATCCTGAGTTGACTGCACTCCACAGCAGCCTCCAGGAGACGATGTTCCTTTCAAGTGAACCATAAAGCACTTATTTTCCAAGATAGGGAACAAATAGGATTTCGGCCATGCGGGGACCAGGTGGTTGAGGGACGTTCATTTTTAAACTTCATTAAGGTAGCTTCTGAAAAATGACCTTTTTTCCAGCCATGAAAAGAAGCTGAGAACCAGGGGCAGGAAAGTGTTAATGAATCTCCCCGAAAATAACCGCTGGCTCCCCTCTCACCAGCAGCCTAATCATCCTCTTCACTGGTGGGATTTTGGCTCCAATGCACAGTTTTAATTTGAATTGTGTATGCGGAATTTGCTATCAAAAAGCATCTGCAGAACAATGCATTTAATTTTATTGCATCTATATTTTTTAAAAGGATTTGTATATAACCATACATATATATGATTATATCCATATGATTGTATACAAGTCCACTATATATACGGACACATCCATTATATATGTGGACAATGAAGATATACACCAAAGTATGAACAGGGGAGATGAGGGGGGACCAATGGGCTTTATTATAGATATCCTCTCTGGGTTGCTTGACTCCTTTACAATGAGGAAATATGCATGGTATAGATGAGTAACAGGAAATTATAAAGTCACAAGCAAAAATAATCTACTAGCTTTGTAATGAGAGGTAACAGATGAGGTCCAGGCCCTCTGGGGACTTCCAAGAGAAGACACGTCCTGATGCAGACAGACAGACAGAAAAAATGAGCTCACATTGCTGATTTAAGTCAAGTGCAAGCTCAAAGGACACCCCTACCAAGTTCTCACCCCTCTCCTCGCTCACTCTGTTCACTTATGCCAGGCCAAGATTTTGATTCTTTGAGAAACTCTTTGTCCCCTTGACCTTGAGCAGTTGAGATGCAGCTGTTAAGGAAGTGGTAAGATCCTGTGCCCGGGACCATCTAGGGGTATTCAAGACGTCCTGGGGCCCCTTCTACTGCCAAGGTAGGGGAAGGGGGAACCTGCAGCCTTCCCCAAGTTGACACCTCCAGGCAGTGGCAGAGGCTGCTAGAAGCAATCTGACCCCTCCCTGTCAGTCCTCAGCTCTAATCTCTAGACCATACTCCCATTAATTATTATTACTGTATTAATCATACATGTGATTAATTCAGTAATGGTGATTCATAATTGATTGCATTTTATATGGCGCCTTTCATCCACACATCTCCCAAGATGTGCACTGCCTACAACAAGAGACACATAAAGCGGAACGTGTTCTTTGCTTGCCTGCATTTTGTTGGATAAACTTCTCTTCGGAGAGGCAGGGGGCTAATGGCCTTCGAGCACACGGAGCTTGCCAGTCCCAGCTCCGTGCCCGTCTCCCTGAGTACTGCAGCTCAGTAGTATCCTGCCTTGCCCGGTGGCAGCCGTACCACAGGAGTCATGCAGATCCCACCCCCTTGGCAGGCAAGTCGGCCTAGGCCCCAGGCTGCCGGGCAAGGCCAGCCTGCCCTGGCTGGGAGGCAGTGCTATAGAGGGCTTGGATGAGGGCCCTAGAGCCTGACTCTCTGGGTATGAGTTGTGCCTCTCCCGCTAATTAGCTGTGCGACCTTGAGTAAGCTACTTCCTTCTCTGCCTCACTTTACCCAAATGCAAAATGGGATTATAATAGTCTCCATCTTCCTAGAGTTATGGTCAAGATCAAATACAACGATAGACAGAAAGCAATTTCGAACCTAGCACACAGTAAGTGCTTGATAAACGTGAGCAGCAATTGTGGAAACTTAGGCCTGGTTCCAGCACCAGCAGTTCTGTGACTCAACTGGTCTCTTCCCTGCTCTGGGTCTCAGTTT